GCTAATCAAGCTTCTCTGCATCGTCGAAATTTTAATGGATGTCCCAAAGGACGAGAGTTATTATTATTATTTTTTTTTTTTGTTTCCGTTACTGATGTTCTGATACCTTTGCACTTTTTTTCACTAAGTAAAAGTTGATTAGAAAAAAGTTCTACGTTCAGGTTGGTCGCATGACGCACACACACAAAGAGTTGGCTGATATGAGATGCACTACTGTGAATCGGACCTTGATTTCCGACCCAATACGGTCTCATCTTGAGTCATATCGGATCATATCGATGTCCGATCATCAATTACACCGGGAGGCAATTCACTGGACGCCCTTGTCATGTACGACTAGGACATTTTGCCGGGCAGTTGGGTTCTGCCCAGTAAAACCGTAGGCAGAGTGGGAGGGAGAAAGAGGATAACAAACGAGGGGCTGGGACAAACTGTTTTGTCGGAGTCTCACCGACTCTTTTTTTGACGATATATTTATGTCCGATCTATAACAATCCACGAGGGTGGACCAGGCAAACAGTTGATGGCCTTCGTTACTTCGCGTTCACGGATGTATCCGTGTATCTTTTGCCCACTGCTTGCAGAAATGAGTTTAAACCTCTCTGCTTTGCATATGCATACCGTGCATATACGGAGAAGAAAGCCTCAGCATTGATCAGGCCAGCAAATTAGACTTGAAAGTAGACGCAAAGTGGGCGGCTTGCTGCTTTCTCTCGGTCTCATTAACGATACAAGTAAGATGCGTTGCTCTGTGTCACATGATGCGTTGCTCTGTGTCACATGGGAATCGAACTGATGTCAGATCGATCAGGAGATGAATGAACGGGAACCGGATGGAGTTATAGAAGAAGTACGTAATAGGAGAGGGAGAAGAAGTGGTGGCAGTATAGCTCATGCATACTTACTCCCCCACGCCAATACACGGTCCACCAGCCTTGCAAAATCTGCAAAATCACGTACTCCTATAATTTGGGAGGCTATGGGCTACCGGGACCACAATGGATGGCTGGCGGCGCCAGGCCAAAAATAGAAAACGGTGTGCGGCTGGCGGTTAGGCAAAGCTTGGCGCGCAGTGCGGGGCGCTGCCAGTACCAGGCAGCCCAGACCCGGGTGTACTGGTCGTTGGTGCCAATTTTTACCGACCTGCCAGCGGCGCACTTACTCCCTTTCCTTGCCCCGAATACAACAACGTACGTTCCTTATAGCTGTATTTGGGGCATCTTTCAGCCTAAATACAGCTATAATGACTGTACGTGGTATTCGGGGGTCAGTTATCTAGATCTGTCTGAATTGGATTGGAACTCAGGAGGCCTGTATTTCAATAAGCTGAAGGCTTTCGAGACTTTCAATCATTTTTTTGGTCAATTTCTCACTAAATAAGATTGCTTTTTCAATAAGCTGAAGGCTTTCGAGGCTTTCAATCATTTTTTGGTCAATTTCGCATTAAATAAGATTGCTTTTTTAATTTCTTGTTTTTAATTTCTTGGATGTTCTGCGCTCCCCCCCCCCCCCCCCCCTCCCCCCCCCTTCCTTTTTTTTGATGACAGGTCGTGAAGCTGAAGGCTTTCGAGAAATTTGGGAATACTGCAGAGGCACTGAGCGCAGCGACGGCTCTTGTGGAGAGCAAGCTCGACAAGCGGTTGAAAAAATTCCTGAAGGCGCAATGCCAAGGCGACACTCTGGCTCTCGCCGACTCCAAGTTGGGCAACATCATCAAGGAGAAACTGGTAAGAAAGGGAAGGAGGAGAGGAGGGAATGAAGGGGCAGAAAAAGGAGCAGTACTCTGGTTTAAGAGAAAAAAATATGGGAGATGAGGGAATGAAGGGGCAGAAAAAGGAACAGTACACTGGTTTCAGAGAAGAAAAAATGGTATACGTGTGAAGTTTCTGTAGCCAGATGAGGTTCAGGTTTTCTGATTACTAATATAGCATGAGTTGGTCGTCGTCCTTTTCTTTTTTTTTTTGCTTGAATTTTCAACTGGCTACCTAAAAAGCTCGGACCATGGGATTGAGAATGAGACCAGATTATGGACCATTGGGTTGAGCGCTGGGGTCCCCTCTTCGCGATAGAGCAGCGTGGAATTGGGTAATGGAGGGTCACAATTGCAATGCAGTCATCCACCTACTACCAAGTCCGGGATGGATGCGCGAGTGACGTACGGATGTGAAGGATGAATGTGACGTACGGATGTGAAGGATGAATGTGACGTACGGATGTGAAGGATGAATGTGGGAAGGTTATTAAAGAATACAGAGCTCCGCCAATGTATCACAGCTCAATGACAAGAAGTTTTGGGTTGTCGACTTTGTTATGGAATGCACTCCTCCACCTGCCTCAATTGGAACGCAGTCCATTGGAATGCAGTCTTGCACCTACTGCAAATGGTATACTCTCCACCTACCACAATTGGAATGCAGTCCTCCACGTACCACAATTGGGATGCAGTCCTCCACTTGCCACAATTGGAATGCAGTCCTCCACTTGCCACAAATGGAATGCAGTCCTCCACTTGCCACAATTGGAATGCAGCCCTCCACTCCACTTGCCACAAATGGAATACAGTCCTCCAACTAGCACAATTGGAATGCAGTCCACCTGCCACAATTGGAATGCAGTCCTTCTGGCTGAGAAAGAATTTGATCTGCTATATTTAGATAATAGTCACATACATGTTCAAGCGAAGAGTCTGTTTCTGCCATTTCAAACGAAGTTTTACCTTTGACTCTTGGAATGCAGTCTTCCACCTACTACACTCTGCCTACCATTCTAGTGGAAGACTGCATTCCAAGAGTCAAAGGTAAAACTTTGGTCTGAGCCAGTGGAATGCAGTCCTTCGCCTACCACAAGAAATGGAATTCATTCATCCCCCTACCACAAAAAATGGAATGCATTCATCCTCCACCTACGACAACTGGAATGCAGTTCACCTACCACAAAAATTGGAATGCGTTCACCCCCCTATTACCATTGGAATGCAGTCGTCCACCTCCCACAATGCAAGTGCAGTCCTCCGCCTACCAGAACAATTGGAATGCTATCTTCTTCGTACCGTTCTGTTTTGAGCCTTAAGAATGCAGTCCTCCGCATTCCACAGTTGGAGTGCATTCTTGCTTTACCTTTCGTTCGGGAACATCGGGATGAGAAGAAGCTAGGCTCGTACACAAATAGTAAAACATGCCAGTCGTCTATGTGCAGCTCGAGCCAAATTAGCCTCTCGGCTGAGTGAGGTCAAAGCGGGCCTCTGTGCACTCGCCTAAATTGCGTGAGGCGACAAGTTATTGAGGCAGTAATTGGTATCTGTGGGGCAGTAATGGGTACCTGTGGGTCAGTAATTGTTATCTGTTCGGCGATCACCCTGCCCCCGGAAGTGAAAGTTTTCCAAATTGGAAGCAGACCTACGAGCTCCCATGATGCCAAACGAATATATATGATCAACATGACGATATAGGCCGTCTTGTGAGCTGGGCAATGTCCTCGTTCAGGGGTGTGTGTGTGTGTGTTCTCGTGTGTGTATGTGTGTGTGTGTGTGGGTGTGTTGTGTGTGTGTGTGTGTGTGTGTGTGTGTGTGTGTGTGTGTGTGTGTGTGCAGGTTTTGACTTCGTTTCTTGGTTTGGTTTTGCTGGACCGCATGCAGGGCATCAACTGTATGCATGGATCTGCAGTGATGGAGCTGATGAGGGGAGTGAGGGCACAGCTGTCAGAGCTTGTGGGTGCCTTTGCTGGGCAAGATCTGACGCCCATGAGCCTTGGACTGAGCCATTCTCTCTCTCGGTATAAGTTGAAGTTCAGCCCAGACAAGGTGTGTGGTGGGTCTATAAACAAGCTACTAGGAAATCTACCTTCTTTACTGGAATAAAACGTATGGTCGTTATATCTGTATTTGGGGTATCTTTCAGTCTAAATACAGCTGTAATGACCGTACGTTGTATTCGGGGGAAGAAGGTAAGTCCCGTTTCTTCTGTTTTGACTGAAGGATTGGCCGGTTGGTTGATTGATGGAGTGTTTCTTCTGGTTTGACTGAAAGATTGACTGATTGCTTTATTGAGTGGCTGATTGGTCCATTCAGTAGCTACTCAGTAGCTGATTGATTGGCTGATTGATTGACTAGTTAACCGCCGAACTGACGAATTGGGACACGGCTAATGGATTGATTGCTTTTTTGATTGATTCAATTTTGATTGGTGAATGTTCTGCACTATGATTTTATTGACTAATGGATAGATTGATTGCTTGATTAATTCAATTTTTATTGGCAAATCAAGTGATTGGTTAGTTGATTGGTTGAGGACTTTATTGATTGATCGATTGATTGATTGATTGATTGATTGATTGATTGATTGATTGGTTAATTGATTGCTTGATTATGGCTGGTTAACTAAACCGATGAACGGAATCTTAAACCAGTTGATTGATTGATTGGTTGATCGATTAATTGATTGATTGACTGAGGCTGGTTAACTAAACCGATGAACGGAATCTTAAACCGCACGACCTTTCCCGCTGTTGGGAAAAGGGGAAAATAGTGTACTCCCAAAAAATTGGGAGTTGGGCCGGACGATGGCCGTCGTTGATGGCCGTTGTTTCGTTTCGTTACGGCCTCCAAGAAGATCGGAGGAGGCCCACCCGAGGCTGTTGTTTCGTTTCATTTCGGCCTCGGGTGGGCCTCCTCCGATCTTCTAGGAGGCCATAACGAAACGAAACGACGGCCGCCGATGAGATTTATCAACGACGGCCATCGTCCTAGAAGATCGGAGGAGGCCCACCTGAGGCCGACGAGGGAAAAGGTAGTGGTGCATTACGGATTGTGCTGGAAGGCGGTCTTTAGTCATTAAAATATTGTGATTTTCAAGAGGAAAGATTGCCATTCTCATCCGTAAGTGTGAAAAGGAGGAAGAGATGTGTGGGAGAAACGAGAATGAGCAAGGGGAATCTGTTTGACGTACGAGAGAAGAAAGAATAAACGAGGAACCTTCCCCCCCCCCCGTCCCCCCCTTCTTTTGGCCTCTCTGACTGGTCTTTCAACCACGAGAACGCACGGGATTACCTGATTTCGATTTGTCCTATGTCTCTCTTGCTCATCCGCTGCTGACTTCAACGACCGACAGTGGGGAAGACGCGACTGGAGAGTCTAATGTTTAAACTTTAAAGGGGAGGGAAATTGCATGATTGGGAGAATGACTGGGTAATGACTGGGATTGTGATGTGCTTACTTGGCTATTGTATGTGTTACTGAAAATGCATCACGTAATCTGTGAGTGGTGCTGACGTGTTCAATTCAAATTATCACTTAAAGAAATGAATCGCATACTCTTCTATCGCTATATTTGTGTGTGTGAGTGATATTCTGTTTGGATCTCTGTTGCAGGTGGACACTATGATCGTCCAAGCAATTGGCTTATTAGATGAGCTTGACAAGGAACTGAACACGTACGCAATGCGTGTAAGGGAATGGTACGGATGGCACTTTCCCGAGATGACGAAGATTGTTTCGGATAATATCGAGTATGCCAAGGCCGTGAAGTTTATGGGCACAAGAGAAAATGCTGCATCGCTGGACTTTTCTGGGGTAAGTCCATATGGTTGTGTTTCATATGTGTGAGAGCGCGCAGGTCATTGCGCTTGTGTTGGCGTGGTGTTCGGGCTTTGCTTTTGCAGTGGGATCACCTTTATACGCATTCCAAATGGCTGGTCATATTTTGCCTCCTGGCTGATCCTTCGGCTTTTGTTTGTGCACGTGTGTGTGCTCCTGTGAGCGTGTGCATAGCTTTCTCTTTTTTGCAGTGGGAGTACAGGCGCAGAGGTGCTAGAGAAACAACGGTAGTTAGGAAGGGGCTTGGTTTCGTGTCCTTACATGCATTACTCTATCGGTGATTGGGTTCATGTCACAGTCTAGACATGCACACAGGTCAACCTTGCAGTCGCTATGACCCTAACTGAACATGGATGGATTTGGAAGTGGACGTTCGGCGATCGCCAACACATAAAGAGTGCATCTGTACTTGCCGTTGCATGCACGACACACACACACCCACAGAGAGAGGGAGAGAGAGAGAGATAGAGAGAGAGAGAGAGAGAGAGAGAGAGAGAGAGAGAGAGAGAGAGAGAGTTCAACGATATTGTTTTTACTGTGCTGACTTAGGAGTAAACTGGCTGTGCAGATAATTGCGGAGGAGGTTGAATCTGAGCTGAAGGATGCTGCTGTTATCTCTATGGGAACTGAAGTCAGCGAGCAGGACATGGAGAACATCATGGCTCTCTGCGACCAGGTGGGATATGTGAATGCGAGTCGGTATTGAATGTTGTGTGTGGTTTGGAAGCCAAAATCCATGAGACATTGTCTGAACTGACAAGATGGATGTGGAAATCGTTTCAGGCTTTGCAGGCATCAGATTCCTTGGCTTATCTTTCCTTTGGCTGTTTGCTTGTTTTTCTCTTTTTTTCCCGCTTACTGTCCGATTTCGATTCGATGTGAAAATGATCGTTTAAAATGCATGGAATGGTTGCCAGCCAGGTTTACAATGCCTACCGTCTTCCCTTGAATAGAATGTACAGTTATTATGGCGGTATGTGGCTCACGTTTCCGTCCAGATGCAGTGGAAAAATGACCCAACGTTCTATTTGTGGGAGGAAGGTAGATGGTGGTTTGCTGCAAATAGCATTTAATCTTTTGCTGATTGTTGGCACGGCCATTTACGGATGCCAAAAAGATCGTAGCGTAGACGAGGTTGCTATGGTCGCAACAGATGTCAAGGCAATGCGATGAATGTTGACGTGCAGAGATTCAACCAAAAAAAAAAAAAGTGTGTGGGTAAACGGTGGGAGTAACTATGACGCTCTTAAAATGGCCACGTACCTCGTCGTCTACTTGGTGACGCACATGAATGGAATTTTGCAGAGGGAAGGAAACAAGCAGCGGAGTCGATTTATTAGCGGCAGGGACCCAATTTAGCGAAACAATGACTGTGTGTAGCAGGCAGGCAGTTTTCTCTCTTCTATATATAGAAGTCTCTTTGGATAAGATTTTGCGTTGGCAGGTGTCCCCTTCGGATAAGATTGTGTTGGCATGTGTTAACCTGTACCCTGATGTCTGTGCGCACTGTTTTGTGTCTTTCTGCTCTTTGTTTGGTGACTTTTTTGCAGGTCATTGCACTCTCGGAGTATCGTGCCCAGCTGTTTGATTACCTCCGGAGTCGAATGAGTGCCATTGCGCCGAATTTGACAGTTCTTGTGGGAGAGTTGGTGGGGGCGAGGTTAATCGCACATGCGGGAAGTTTGATCAATCTCGCTAAGCATCCAGCAAGCACCGTTCAAATCTTAGGTGCAGAGAAGGTGAGCTCGCCGTCTTGTGATGCCGCCTGCTACCTACCTACCTGATGTTGCGTGTGCATTGCTCTGAGACGGGTGGAAGATGGTTGCTAGGACAGTGTACAAGGGGCCACAACTCCCGTGCTGCCTTTACCTCAGCGGAGCGTTTGAACATCGTAGCTGTATTTTGGGCAACTCTCAGTCTAGGTACAGTGATAATGACCGTGGGTTGTTGTATTCACGTGAAGACTGTAGCTTGAACCAGGTTCTGATGGACTTTGTACGTAGACTGTACCTATACTGTATTCAGTCTATGTACAGTCTAGGATCATCGATTAGCACAATCAAAAAAAGATTAGGCAGGGTACTGTAATGTTTTTGCTCTTTTCACTTTTGTTCTTCATTAGGCTAGTATGTGAAATCTGGTGAGGAAAGTGTGCGTTCTAGACTGGTGACCGGAGGGGAAAAGTATTCTTGGAGATGTAGTGTACGAACACAAAGCACCTTAATTTTGACTGTATCGGACTGGAAAGTTAGCCTGTATGCATTCATTATCAGGGTGCGTTATGTTGGGGGGGCGAGGAGGGGGGGGACTACGGTAGTCTAGCCGTGACCGGATTGGAAATGCATTTGCATGGATGTTTCTGCCCGGGTTGCTAGGCTGCCATGTGTACTGCAGTTCTAAGGCACACCTGACTGTTAATGAGACCCGACTGAGGGCCTTGAGAGCCGAAGGGATTTTGGTTGTTCAGCCAGCGGCAACATATAGTGTCTGTTATTTGATGTGTCATCACAATAGGTAGCGTACGGAGAAGGATGGACGCAACGCATTCTTGAAGTGGGTTTCGAACCTTTCGCATTCTATTTTACATTGAAGATTTGTTTGGGGCTACCGCTGTAGTGAACGTGATTGCATGCGATTGAAAAATGCTTGGCGGTATAGGCCTGGCAATTTTCAGTGGCCTGAGTATATAAATGACATAAGAATTGACCCCATAGAACTGAATTTGGTATCGGCTGTCTTAGCATGCAAGTGGTATTCAGGAGGTCGTGGGTTGAATCCGGCACGGCCCTCCTGCAGCGGGCTGCTTGGTGTGTACCAGCTGAGATAGTTGGCTTTGCCCCCCTCGTGGCCAGTTTTGGTAGGAGCTTGGGTACTACCTTCTTCCCCCGAATACAACGCTTGGTCATTATGACTGTATCTAGACAGAACGATGCCTCAAATACGGGTATAATGACTGTACGTTGTATCGGGGGAAGAAAGTAGCCTTCCCGGCTGTTGCGGTTGCCATGCCTGGCCTGGGGTCAGGAGCGTAGGTGCTACTCCCTGCATAGAGTAGAGTAGAGAGGAAGGACCTTTTCCAGCACAGAGTAGAGGTGGGTTACCTGTGGGTATCGTGGCTTAGATATACGGGTCGATAGAGTGCGGTATGTAGGCAGCTAGTGTGAGGTGAAAGAAGAATCGAGAGAAGAATATAGCGTAATTATTTCTTTCATGTGGGTAGAAATACTAGAAATGCTTGGAATCAATGAAACAAGGAAAATGTGTGTGCTCTTAAGGTTCATTGGAAAGGGCAACTCACTCAGTTTACGACTTTGACGATTTTGCCTTATCTTGACTGCAGGCATTGTTTCGAGCGTTGAAGACGAAGCATGAGACCCCGAAGTACGGGTTGATTTATCATGCGTCCTTGGTCGGCCAGGCGGCTGCCAAGTACAAGGGAAAGATTTCAAGAGTTCTTGCTGCGAAATGCGCGCTCTCTGCTAGGGTGGATGCACTGGGAGAGTCGCAAGAAGCAACGATTGGGTTTGAGAGCAGGTTAAAGGTAAGACACCAACTCAAGGCGGAAGAGCCGTTTGTGAACGGGATTTTGCGTATGTTGTTGGTTTTGCCTGATTGCCTGTAGCTCATCTTCTCTAGCTTCTGAGAGATTCGGGCGGGGTACGTTGTCGTGTTTTGTCGGATGGCCTTGGGATCGCTCATCTTCTGTTGCTTCTCAATTCATGAACTGCCTTGGCGAATGAGCCCTTTTCACGTTGGCTTGCGTGGCGCTTTTCCTGGCTCAGGAACATGGAAATGCAGGTGCTAGAAGTTCTAGACCCTACCTACATGTCCTTTTTTGTTTTTTGCATGCCGCAGGCGTGCTTCATTCCCCTGCAGAGGGACAATCTAGCCACATGGGGAATGGCCTTGTTGGGCAGGAAAACTGCTCGGCAGTTGCTGGATATCAGGGGGCGGAGGAGTTCCCAAGGAGAAAAACTAGACAGCAGGTTTATATTCTGTTGTTGGAAAATCCTGCAAGTGGATCCGTTTCTGACGCGCAACCGATTCAAGGACTCACGATGTTTGGTTTCATGTTCCTTGATGGCTGTTCTGATATAGGTGGAAGCACGCGTTCGGCAAGCCGAGGGCAAGGCTCTGGGCAAGATATCTGGAGCCGCGAAAGGAAAGGCGAAACTGGATGCTTATGATAAGGACAGGAAGGCGGATGCGCCGGCACTTATCACTGCCACAAGAGTGAGTGTTGTGAAGTATTGTAACCCTTTGTTTTGTCAGGACGGAGGCGAGGACAGAAATCCTCCCTCCCTCCTCCCTCATGCCTTCCTTCCTTCCTCTCCCCCTGCTCCTCTTGCCAATGAATAAGTCTCTTCCCAGGATGGAGGCGAGGACAGAAGTCCTCCGTCCCTTCTCCCTCATTCCCTCCCTCCCTCATGCCTTCCTTCCTTCCCCTCCCCCTGCTCCTCTTGCCAATGAATAAGTCTTCTCGCGCAGGTTATTTGTGCAGGTTACATATTTGTTCTGCTTGTGCAAACTGTTTTGGAATTTATGAATGTGCATCATGCAAGTGTGGTTGCGGTACAACAAAGACTTAACTTGTTGCAGTATAACAAAGAAGTAATTGGTAGAGTCGTAATAACTTGTGTTCGCATCGTTTTTGTTGGTTGTTCCCCCTTTTGGATGGTGCGAGAGGTGTGTGCACTGTAGTAGTAGTTGGTGCTCATGACTATGTTGTTTGTGCTTTGGCTGTGATTGTATTGCTGTGGTTTTCTTGATCAACAGACCTACAATCCTGCAGCTGACATCAGGGTACCAAAGGCGGAGGACAAAGAGAAGAAGCGGAAGAAGGCTGAAGAGGAGCCGACGCCAATGGAGACTGACGAGGAGGCACCAAAGAAGAAAAAGAAGGGTGCAGACGGTGTTGCGGAAGTACAAGTCAAAAAGGAGATGGACGATGAATCCATGGAGGAGGACAAGGAGGACGTGAGTAAGCAGGAGAAGAAGAAGAAGAAAAAGAAGAAGGGCCTTGGTGAGGATGAGAGCGGGAAGGTAAAAAAGGAGCAGGTGATTGTTGATGAGATGAAGGACGGCGAAGGATCTGCGGAGAAGAAGAAGAAGAAAAAAAAGGACTCCGCTGCCGAAGCTGATGTGATGCAGGTGGGCAGTGAAGATGATGGGGCGGCTGATGGAAAGACTGAGAAGACGAAGAAGAAGAAGAAGAAGGACACAGGCGCAGGATCGGCTGGGAAAGGGTCACCAGATGAGGTAGAGATGGAGGAAGCAGCTGCAAAGAAGAAAAAGAAGAAGGACCGAAAAGAGAAGAGCTGAGGAGTCGCTGCAGTTTAGATTCAGTTGAGGTAAAACCAATCACTGCTTGGACTTTGCCTGTCCCTTAGCGTTTCATGGCATGGAACTGGTTGCTTGACGCCTGAATGATATGTGACCATTTCTCCTGACAGCAGCGTCTAGAGTCTAGACCATTGGTCTCATGCTCTGCCAATTTCTTTCGGCTGGGCTGGGCTTGTCCGCCAAGCTATTCAAATGCAACTTTTGCAGCCAGCAGATGCGCTCCTTCCTGTGGAGCAAGCCGATCTCCAACCCGAAAAGATATCTGGGTAGGTCCCCACTTTTCCCATCTACGTGGAAACCGCTGTCAGCACTGACCCACAGGGGTCTAGGTACGACTCCAAATTGGCATCGGGGCAAAACATTGCTATGGTCAATCGAATCGACCAGATAAACTCTACGGTGTCTCTCTTCTCTGTTTGCGACTTTGTGCGACTGTTTGAGAAGCGAGAAGAGGCGTACGAGGAAGTTTTAGGGCAGCGCCGAGCGCCGTTGGTGACGTCCTGCTTAGCGGCCAGAGGGAAGGGAGGAAGTTGGGGAAAATTAAGGAAATTAGGGCAGTGCTGAGCGCCGTTGGTGACGTCCTGCTTAGCAGCCAGAGTGAAGGGAGAAAGTTCGAGGAAGATCGTAACTGGAGTAGAACGACTGGTCCAATTAATGAACGTCGGCTGAGTGAAGGGAAACGTTGGCGAAAAGGAGTCGAACCACTAGTCGCTGATAAGTGGACGTTGCCAAGGGTAGCGGAGTTCTCCGTGTCGGTCTTTTGTGAAAAAAAGAGTGCTACCAGAGTTGGTCTCTATTGTGTTGCTTGGTACGAGGGTGTTTAACGCAGGAGGGAGGGAGGCATGAAGGCATGAAGGCATGAAGGAGACACATATGATGATTTGAAGTTATCCTTGCGCTTCGACTGGAACATCGTTACGATGTTTCGAGGAAGACGAACTTTCATTTCCAGTTTGCTAATCCTGGATCCTGATGTGTCTCTGCGAATGCACTGCTTTCTCTGTCGAACATTTGATTTGTTCTGCTGTTTCGGAGGGAAAAGCGATACCTCACCTGCGGAGCACCGAATGCCATTGGGCCCATTTTTCTTCGGAACACTGGAAGAGTGTTCTGAGCTTCTGCAGAGTTGTAGTGGGTCTCATTTTTCCAGTGTAGTTTGTAGTGTCCAGGCTGCGGATACGTCAGGCGGCTGATGTGCGTGTGTTCCTGATCGTCAATTAGGTTTTTGCATGAGAGCATCGCAAGCTGTCAAGGTGGCACAGATTATGAAGTTAGTGTTGTTAATAGAACAATGACTTAGTCTACTGTGCGAGCAAGGAGGGAGGGTTATATGATTATATGATTGTCTCGAGCTCGAGGAGGATTATATCTTGTATTTCCAGATCTGAATGCTGGAGCTTTTCGGATGCTGAAGCTGTTCGAATGCTGAAGCTTGATGTGAGGGAGGGTTATATGATTATATGATTGTCTCGAGCTCAAGGAGGATTATATCTTACATTTCCAGATTCGAATGCTGAAGCTTTTCGGATGCTGAACCTGTTCGAATGCTGAATCTTGATGCGATTCTGCCTACTACGCCATCTCCTTGTCTTTTCTTGTTTTTGTTTTTGTTTTTTTTTCTTCTTTCGTTTTCCTCCCTCCTTTTTTCTCTCGTTTTGAAAAAAAAATTGGCGCCGGCCTTGAGGTATCACCATTGAACTGACAGGCCCTAGTTTTTTCAAAAGAGGTGTTTTGTTAACCTGACCGGATCTGGATTTGAACTCGGATCTGTATTTCAAGAGTCCAGCAGCATACCATCCGAGCTACATCATCAATGCCTTTTGACCTTCAGTCGTGTTTTTGCTTTTTCAAACACATGTGATCAATTCCTGTACTGTTCTGTGGAGCGAGTGAGAGGAGAAATCTCCTTTCCTATTCTCGAAAGGCCAAGTTTTTTAAGCCCAAGCCGTCCATCCGTGCTCAAGCCGCCAAGGAGGGAACATGTAGGAGCTGCACCCACCAGCAGGTGCGATACCTGCCACAGCAGGTGGGCGATACCAGTCAGGGGTCTGCTGGTAGCATCAGGACCGAGCTCTTTTTTTCGATGGGCCAGTTGCTGTGCCTCCCCTCTGCCCTTCTCCCCCTAGGAACATCAGCACTCTCTGCTAAATGCTCCTCATGGGGACCACCGACTTATCTCTAGCTGGCGGGTGCCAATCTTGCCCAGGAAGGTGGTACATGAGGCCAATGTCGATTGAACCCAAGACCTCCTGAATGCCACTTGTGGCCTTGCCAACTGAGATAGGCCGCCAGATACAGAATATGAATCTCTTGGGTACAGTGTTCCACCAAGTCGAACGTTTGGCCTTTTTTGCGGTCTCTTGACAGAAACTTTACCGTGCGTTACATTCGGGGGACGCTGGTCTCGGGAGGTGTATGTTGAGATTGATTGCTGTCCAAAGTTTGAGACAGTGGTCTGTTTCATGCCACTGGCAAGCCTGCTGTTATTAAACCACCAGGCGGGCCCTGTCCAGAGTCTGCTAACGTTTCGGAGAGGCTCATTCGGATTCTCCAGATGTACTGGTGGTCCTGTCCCATGTGATCTCGATTAGTCTCGTTACGTCTATGCGGTGAGATAATGTAAGACGGAAGGAGATAAAAGCAGTGGCGAGTTGCGAATGTGTACCCACTTCTCGTGGCCCACACTGTTTGAGAGACGCCGATTGTGAGAAGGGGTAGCTATGATTGTAGGTTCGCGGGTGGTGCTTTAGACGGTAATGTCCCTTTGGTTGCACCAGTTGTCCAGTGCATGGCTATGTGCTCTGGGTGCTTATTGGCATGTGGTTTGAAGAACGCCAGAGGGTTTGAACTGCTGTGCAGGAGATTCACATGGGCTCAGGCTCAGGACGGTGTAGGAACAAAAGGGCAGGGCAGGGCAGGGCCGGGTAATTTCCGTACTTGTGCTTCTGCTGTTGGATGATTGCTTTTTTGGCCTGGTGGTATTGGGTGGTTGGTCCGTCTTCTTTGTGAATTTTAGTGCATGATTGGGGTGTGATTCGACTACGAAATTGCGAACCCGCTCCTCCAGTTCAATATCAGGGCTTTTGCGTGTGGGAGTGTAATGTGAGTATGCTTCAGGCCAAAGATATTTGGGTGCCGCCTGCGTAAGAATGCGTACAAGTTAAACCTTGTACTTTGGTCGATGTTTTGCCTCTTTGTTCTTGTTGTTGTTGGAAGTTGGGCTGTGCTCTTTCTTAAATCACCAGAGAGAGAGAGAGAGAGAGAGAGAGAGAGAGGGCTGTGTGGAAGCATTTGTCGTCACATGCTGGCGGACACTTGCAAAATGGGCTTAACTGAATGAGTGTATTTCTCTGTAGCTCCTCGGTGGGCACTAATGTACTCGGTGTTGAGGACACAGATTTTGGGGTGCAAAGTGAAGGGCATGCATCTTTTTTGAGCCGGTGGTGGAGTACGTCTATACCATGTTATGCAAGTGGGTTTCGTCGGAGTGAACCTGGCTGGTTTTGTGGGAGTGGACCTGGCTGGGCAGATGGATATATATATATTGACGATATATATATATATATATGAACTGTGGTATGTGTTGGTCCGGGTGCCATTCTGACAGCACATGCTGTATTCTGACGTCATACTAGTGCATTTGGAGCACGAGTCCGTCCGAAGCCAAATTGATGCAACCAAAATAATGGCAAAATTGGATTTTCCAGAGTCTAGAATCTGCAGTGCTGGCCTTTGAAATGAATCTACAGTTGCGCCTTCCCAGCGAGCCTCTACCGGACCTGGGCACTGTAGATTTTTGTCTGGTACTTGCGTACAACCAAAATTTACACTGCGGCCTGCTGATGGACTGGTGGTTCTAGTGTGTAGTAATAAACTAGGACGTTTTGGACTCAACTCTGGATGTGTTTGCCCTTGGATACATCTGAACTTGTCCTCTGGGGTCCGGTTTTTGATTCTGTCACAATGTGACGAACTTTGGTGTGTCTTGTGGTGTTGTTCGGAGCATAGTGAGGTTCTTTTGTTCTGGCTTGGATTTTTCACTCTCCGCATTGTGGTTGGACTCATTTCGTTCTGCTGTATACGTGTTATGGTAGCTTGCTGTCAATTGTTAAAAGAAGACGAACCCCTTCCAATGTGCTTCCCTTCCTCTTCTGTTTACTCCCGAATGAGGGCATAGTCAATTGAGCACACTTTCGTAAATGTTTCTTTCTGATATTAGGCACAGACCAGGATGCATGCATCTGACAGCCTCCACGGCAACAGCTCAGTTGAAAAATAAAGTCCTGCAGGACCAGTACTACTGGCATGGGCGATATAACATTTATAACATTGTCAAATCCTGAACTCATGTGGCCGCTGGCTGAATGGAGTACTATGGAGCTGAGAGGTTAGGCAATTTGAAAGCCTTGGTACTTACAGGGTGTAATACGGTTTTGTGTTTTAATTTGCCTTGTGCGGTGCAGGGTTGAACTGCAAGGTGCCAGCCTTTTGGGAGTGTGGGTGGGTGGTGCTGGGCGGGACGGTGGGCGGGTCCGGGTGTGCTTGTATATGGCTAGAACAGGAGGAAGTTGATATATGCCAGAGGCTCTGGCGGAACATCCCTGATCGGTAAGGGTAGTTTTTGGGATTACAGTTTTGACACTGTTGTCTGCGGCGCAGTTTAGGCACAGGACTGGACGTCAGGATGGGGGATAGCTAGGCTATAGCCTGTTATATGTGACGTCCAAGCTGGAAATAGAGAGGGAGATGTTTGCGATAGGATTTGCTGCTTGGGATGTAGTCGACGGCTTGAGCGGTTGGAGAAGGTTTTCTGGTTGAGGCGGAAGGTTGTTGCCAGTGCTTTTGCGTGTTTCGTGCGGCGGATTCCTTCGTTGTTGCAAGATAGACGAAGACGGCGAGGTATAGCAGTGGACATGGAGGTAGGTTGTTTTCATCGAGTGAAAAATTGAAATTGGATGGTACGTTGGAGAGAGAGAGAGAGAGAGAGAGAGAGAGAGAGAGAGAGCAGTGGACATGGAGGTAGGTTGTCTTCATCGCGTGAAAATGGAAATTGGATGGTACATTGTAGAGAGAGAGAGAGAGAGAGAGAGGGGAGCGGGAGGGGGATCATTTTTGATTACCAATCCAATTTGCAGTTGTTGTTTGTAATGCAAGAGAGCTTGGGGGGGAGGTGGTTTAATTTGGGTGGTGTGTACAGGGAGAGGAGAGCCTTGCATCATGACAGATTTACCTTTCCCTTTTATCGGTGGGAGGTAGATGCGTGTAACTTAAATCCAGATTAGGGCACCTACCGCGACATTCCCTCCTTTCCTTAGATTCGTTCGGGTGGTGAGTGCCGCGTTGTTGTTGTTGATCTATAGGCAAGGATGCGGGTCCCGCCTGTGGGCTGGGTGAAGGCCTCGGTCTTGGTTCCACCTGACATGGATGAACCTAGGATTCGGTCCAGGTTCAAGCTGTGCTGGTCCTTGGTATATGTAGGCTTGGCCTTATGTGGCCGGTGATGGCCGGCGAAAAGAGAGGAGAGGTTAAAAAGCAGTTGATTGCGTTCGGTAGTTGTGGAGGCTTCTGGTCTGATTTTCTCTCTAGTAAGAAATCTTCAGTTCTTGTCAGAAGACTCGACTGTGTTTCTGTGTGGAAGCTCAACCCATTAATGTAAGATTTATTGCGTTTTTTATAACTGTTTTTTTTTTTTTTTTTTTGGTTTGTTTGTTCTGTTCTTGAGACGTTCGAGGTCGTGCCTTTTCAAACCAATTTGATGGTTCGAGTTTTTTTTTTTCCCCCCCAATTGTGAAGAGTACATTGATATAGGAAATATGAATGGAGAAGTGGTGGAACGTGCAGAACCACATCTTGGTTTACTTCATAGAGGTACGGAAAAATTAATTGATTATAAAACCTATCTACAAGCTTTGTCTTATTTTGATCGATTAGATCATGTTTCTATGATGGCACAGGGCAACATGCTTAAGCAGTTGAAAGGTGAAATTCATATAAGAACATAGCTTATTGGAACGATACAGAGAAGATTAGCATGGCCTTTCACAAGGATGACACGCATAAATCGAGATATGGTCCAATTAGAAAAAAAAAAAGATATAAGAAAATAGCTTAGTTCAAGTTTGTTGTTTTTTAGAAAGAAGGAAAAAACAAAAAAACAATTGATGGATTATAATTTATTAATGACTATAACCGCATAGTAATACTATTGTAAAGTGGGAATGGACTTTCCTGATCGATGTTTTTGGTAGAATTAATTTGTACAACAAAGGAGCTGCCTGCATATATCACTCCCTCTAGCCTCCTCTGTCCGGATCCCCCCCCAAAAAAAATAAATAAATAGAATTGCGGTGTTTGTGGAAGACCTCTTGTGATCTCTGCTTCCGCTATGCGAATTTGAGAAGTGTAAGTTGAAACTGCCCCGGTTTCATACTGTACATATGTTTTGAATCTTTTGATACGGGACGCTGGGCCCGGTTCCCAGCATGTGCTGGTCCCCACGAATATGTTATTCTGAGGGCAAACTCACACTGGGACTGTCCTGGATGGATGTATTTTGGCTGCAATTGCAACGTAGTACGGATGTATATGACTGCAATTACGTCCTAGAGCTGAGTAAAAAAAAAGTCGTAGTTGCACAGAGGGTGATTGCGAGCTGGTTGGTGTCATGTGAACCAGTGGATCACCAAGCTTAAACCACCAGTACTTGGCCGGGCCCAGCTATCAATGCCGAGCCTGGAATGGACCTGCGCGCCGATTTTTGCCGAAGTGCCGGGGTACCCTTTTGTTTTGTTTTTGGCTGGCGCTTCCAGCCATTGTGGTCCGGTTCCCTGAAGCCCTAAAGGTGTGGCGCGTTAACGGGGAAGCGCCGCTGCCGATAGCTGGCCCAAGTACTGGCGGTTTCAAAACTAGATGCGAGTTATGTCCTGTGCATGTCGCCGCTTTCGAGTATTTGTATTCAAGAGGCTGAGAGGTGTGCTGACTTATACCTCTGCTGTCTTCACCCCAATAGAACCCGTGGTTGGTATAGCTATATTTTGGGGAACCGTTGGTTGCCGTTTAGATACAGTTATAATGACATGGCATTCAATTTGGGTGAAGATGGCAGAGCTATAAGTCAGTACTATACAGAAAGCGATATAGATCAGTACTATCGTCTTCTCACCCAAATAGAATCCCGCGTCGTTATTGATGTACCGAGACGGAAAGGTGCCTCTAGTGCAGATATAATGACTGGGCAATCTATTGGGCCGAAGACGGTAGGCTTACGAACGGGCAGCGTAGTGCTACATGTATGGTGCAATCAATCAGTGTCATTGATGCACAAGTATAGTATGTAATATGTTGTACTATGTAGGTATATAGCTGTGTGCCTTGTACTATGTAGGTATAGCCGTGTGCCTTGTACTATGTAGGTATAGCCGTGTGCCTTGTACTATGTAGGTATAGCCGTGTGCCTTGTACTATGTAGGTATAGCTGTGTGCCTTGTACGATGTAGGTATAGCCGTTTGCTTTGCCTGTGG